GGCCTCGCGCCCTGCAGGTGGTGGCGACGGCGCTGCTGCTGGGCGACGAGGAAGGGCCAAGGGGCGAACGGGGAGATGGGCAGGCGGCCGCGGCGCTGCTTGCCTGGCTGCTGCAGAGCCCTGAGCGCCTCTCGGCCTTGTGCCGCCTGCTTCCGGGCTCTCTGCTTGCCGCCCTGGCCACTCGCTACTCCCAGTTGAGCGCCTCTTACTTGGACCTCCTCGTTGCCTGGGGAAGCCGCTTGCTCTATGACCCCTTGCAGGGCCGATGGGGGAGTAGCTGCTTCGAGCAGGCTGAGCTGTCCTGGGCGGAGCTGAGGGAGCGTTTTGACTGCCTTTGCCGTGCGCCGGCACCGCTCGGGGCGCAAACCCGCGCTGCCCTGGAGCTCCTGAAGGTGCAGGATGGAGACTTTGATGTCCCTGGCGTCAGCGTGTGGACTGACTTACTGGCAGAGGTAGAGAAATCCCTGAGGAAAGCAGTGAAGCCGAGAGCAGACTTAAAGCTTTTGAAAGCCAAGAAGACAGTTTAGCTCCTCTGTGTTTAGAGTGAAAGGCAAGGAAGAGACCAGCACTTCACTGTGAGCTGAAGACTTGAGGTTGATGAGACTGAGCATGCTATTTCTCTCTGCATATGATGTCCATTAAGGAGGCCCAGTGCTTTTATGTAACTGTATATATACTGTATATGTAACCATATAATGAAGAAAACACCTCTGGTTTCAAAAGCAAAAAAAGGCTGTTTTCATCTTGTGATGGAGAATATTGCAGTTGCAGTGCTGTGCAGTCATGAAGGCATCCTGTCTTTCCCTTGCTGCAGGCCAACCAAATGCTCAGAGAGGAAGGTGGACTCCCATCTAGAAAACGATAAGCTGAGGATTTCTTTAGTAATCCTGCCCTTGCTGGGTCATCTGTGTTGGTGGGTGTTGTGCTTCTCCACACCTTATGTATGGGCTTAAGTAAAGGTAGAAAAAAGCCAAGTCTACTGTAAAGCTCTGAGATGGGAAGGCATTATTAGTTACCATATTGTATACTTATATGCAAGCATGACCTAGGGAAAAATAGGAACTGCCTGCACTGTTCATTTCTCTTCAGTTTTTCTTGATGTCTTGGGGTTAGGGGAGGGGGGGAAGTGATGAGCTTTCTTCAGGAGATTCAAGATTTGTCTGTTCTCTTCATTTTCCATCAGCTTTTGCCAACAACTTGATCAAGGAACTTTCTTATTTCCTTTAAAATGAGTCTTATGATATGGAAGTAAAAAGTTCAAGTGTATTCATCTCTGAATTAGCCTTATGAAAGAGCTGTGTAGAAGCGATCACCCAATGAAGACATGGAAATTTATGCCAAGGCCACAAAAAATGGCCTCTGTTAGTTTTGTGTGGGGAGTCTATCAAAAAGCTCCTATTCCTGTTGGCTTGAGATCAGCTGAGAGTTTTTTCATCTGTCAGTGAACTCTGTAAACTTAGAGAGGTTGAGAAGGTGCTCAGGTTCTGCTTAAAAGCTTAAAGACCAGAAGATGCTATGTGAAGGATGGATCAAAGGACAATTCAGAGTAATTCAGAGTGCTAAAATATAGGCTAGTGTGCACAGCTATATCAAGACACAAGTACACCATTATTTTGTGATTAAAAGTGTGGTACATTTGGAGTTTGGGGGTTTTTTGGAGGGGGAAGGGAAAGTTACCTGTTAGTGTGTCAACACAGCAATAAAATTATGGAGATGTGCACATAAACCTATCTTGTACTTTCTAACATGGGGCTGTTCCCCTTTCTGGGCCTTGGCAGGTTCAGTTTCAAAAGAGCCCCTTGTCCGTGCACTGAGCCAGTATTTCTGTGCTACTGAAAGGCATATGAAGATTGCCCATAAACTTCTAAAACTGCTTGAAATGATCAAGTATGAAGGCTGAGCTTGTGTTGTCTAGCCGTAGGTCCCTGTGTTATGTAGTTTTGGCATTTGATACGGAAATTCTGCACTTGAGCTTATTGTTAATGTTTTTAGCAGGCATGGTCTTTCTTGTGTGTGTCTGCTAGAACACTTGCTGCTATCAGAGGTTCCTGAGGAATGAAAGGCCCAGAGATACTTGTCAGTCATTTCTCTTTCCCTGGTGCATGAAATAGGAATAGCAAATGTGGTAATAAGTTACATGTGTTACACTATCAGGGTACCATTTTCTGGGTCAAACAGCAGAAGTAGAGCAGAAGCTACTGACATTCCCTCTCTGAGGGAGCTCCAACTTTCAGTTACCTGGGTACAAAATAATTCTTAATCTCAGACATTTTGGTGATAGTTTTGTTTTTGCTAGGCAGGTATGTTTCTGAAGGTAATCTCAAGGCATGCTGCCAATGAATTAAGGACCTTAATATCCTTCAAGTATTTAAAGGCTAAATCTGCCGTTTTTAGGAAGTTTATACCTGCAGTATTTGCTTTTTGAAAAGCTTAAGCTTTCACTTACACAATATGCTCTGTAAAGACAGTTGTCTCCATTCCTTTTTAATAGCTAACTGCAGCTACAGAGTCTCCTGCTGTAGCAGTTAACAAATGAGAACAGCACTGCAGTGTGTTAGTGTGACATTTAAAATACAAGTGTGTGGGGAGGGGACTGGCCAGAAAAGTGAATGGTAAAAGGTAGCTGAGCCTCAGTGAGGCAGAAGCACCTGGTTATAGCAATTCTATAAAAATGTTCCCATCTGTCCAAGATACACACACATCCTTTGGTGAGGGATGCCAGATTGGTGATTGCCAAATTCCAAAAGACATATGGCATTTATTGAATGAAAAGCAGCATTTCCCAAGCCCTATTATTTCAGGATGTCTGGGGAGTTTGCCAGGTTGCTGTGTGACAAATGACACTTAATGAAAAATTTTGGAGTTCCCTTTTTAATAAAGGTGTAAACAGGAAAAGGTGTGATATCTGTAACCTCTTCCATGAAAGTGCTCAGTTGTCAAGGTTTGTAGCCCCATATTTGCAAACTCTTGACCCCAATGAGTTTAACTGTCATGGATATTAGGAATGACAGATGACAATCCTTTTGCTTCCCCTCTCCTTCCCTCCTCCCCTACTAATAACAGGAAACACATCTTGACTATTTTCTGTATTAAAAATGATGGCTGAAGTGTGCTATCATGAGAACAAGTCCTTTTATATAGGTCCTTTTTTAATGTCTCTTACAGAAGATTTGTAAGGATTAAGATGTCTGCCACTTAGGAGGAATTTACTTGCCCCCAAAATAGCTGAGGCCTATAAATTTGCTACTACTATGACTTCTTTAGTGTGACCTGCTAAGCATATTTAGAGAAAAATAAATCAGCTGCTTTCTCTAGTAACTTACAGTATGCAGCTAGAAACTGGAAAAAAAATTAACGAGGTAGAATATGTTAGGAAAAATATCAGCAGACTGGCTCTATTTGGATGAAAGTAAGAATATTCTGGTGATTGAAAGACACCTGCTAAATTTGAAGTCTTCAGTGTTTATGTAGAATCTATTAACACAGTGAAATTAACTTTTGGATTGGGTTAAGTTTCCCTGTTCCCCATAAGGGCAAAAACTTAATGTCTTGTCCTTTATGACAGTGAAAAGTCACTTTTTCAGTCTGTTGAATTTCAGATTAAAAAAATCATAGGTGATGTGGGGATGAGCTTCTGAGCTCTCAGAAGATGAGGAAAAATACTTCTAGCAATGAGCTAAACCAGAAATAAAGAACCAGTTCAGATATATTCTCTCACCTTTCTGCCTGTGGCAAGGTGTTAAGCTATGGCCATCTAAATGCTGCTACTTAGTACTGCATTTGTGCACCTATACCATGTTAATTCCTAGTGTGCCAAAACCTTTGAGTTATTGAGACTGTACTCTGCTTTTCACTGTGTTCTGGAGTTTTGTTTTCAGCTTTTTGTCCCCAGCTGAAGATCCTTGTCCATAACTAATCAATGTGGATGGCATTTCCCTTAGCTACTGTGTTTGAGTCCTTTTGGGCACCACAGAGGAGGGCAGCAGAGCTGCTTCGTGCACAGGGTTTGGACCCCTCATGGGAAGGAGCAGCAGAGCTGGTGGGACGGACACTTGCAGAGGCAGAGGACTTGATACCCTTGCATTGTCAGTCAGAAGTCATCTGGAATAAAGCCTGTGGGATTTTTTTTTTGTGCTTGGAATGTGAATTTTACCAGCCCTTTCTTTTAACCTGGCATCAGGTAATAATATAAACTGTATGCCTTAGCTGTCTCTATTCACAGACCTTTTTTATTAATAATATTAGGTATTCAGCTCTTAAATTCCTTTTCTATTACATGATAAATTCCTGCTGTATTATCTGAACAATTTACTGTAACTCCTAACTAGAACAATTTACCAGAAATGATAGTAGTGTGCATTGACCAGAATATAGAGATCCCATTCTGCAATCCCTCTTGAAATATCCCTTCCTATTAGATTTCTCCCGTTGGGAAAAAAAATCCAGAACGAATGTTCAGACATGGCCTATTCCTAGTGTGCAGCTCACAAAGGGGCTAATTCCAGCATCTGATAAAGCATTATTGAAGGTTTTGGCAGTCATCCCAAGTTGGAAATCCCACTGCAAAGGCTTGGGTTGAATGCTTTCCTAAGGCTGGTTTCCAGGAATGAAACATTAGGAACTGCTTCTACCTACACATTTGTATTGCCATTTTCCTTATGGTACATTGTATTTTATGACTAGATGAACAGGAAATTATATAATTTGTGACTTTTCAGTATCTGAATGTAGTGCTTCTCTAAACATAAACTTAGGAGTTAAAGAAAATCACGATGTTCTCTAGTGTAGGATGTAAAAATATCAGCTGTAAAAATAAGTCATAATCAGCAGTTGACTACTGCATGATCTGATTGTCAGTAGAATGCATGGAAAGGCTTGTGTTAATGCTGAATGACGGGAAAAGAATGGGTACTTTTATTTTGCTCCTGTAGAAACAGTTAATGAATCTTCTTGAAATACTATCAGGCTGAAATGGAAATGCAGCCTCCCCTCCTAATACTTAAAAACAGCAAAGTCATTAATATTCTTATTAATGTAAATGATCTCTGTGAGAACACTTGATTTCTCCCAGGAGTTAACTAGATGTGATGGATTCCTGAAACAAGTGTGACCGCAAGGTTGTTTATCAGCTGCTTGCTGTAGGCCAATGTTGCAATAGGTCAACCTTTGCTGTTGAGCCAGAAAAGATGCTGTGCCCTGGGGAAAAGGCTTTTAGATCATTATTCTATTGACAATTGTGGCCTGTTGGGTCTCTTGGCCCTATTGCTCTGTGTTGAAGTCTTTAGGTATCTCTAGCTACTGAAAGAAGTAAGGAAATGCCATGATTATCTAGATCTTTTTGGATTCTCACTTGAGTGAGAAGAAACCACTTGTTGGGTTGTGCTGGTGAAATTATCTGGGCCCTAATTCCTGTGAGTACAAGCACTGAATTTGTTTCCAGTTTTTGTAGGACTCCTGCTTTTGTGTTTACAGGTTTGCCTTCTCCAAATATAAGAAGGAAATGTTACATTTGTTGTTCATACATCTG